GGAGGGGGCACGGGGGTTAGGGGCGACGGCAGCTCCCACCTCAGCACCTGGTGCCAGTCGCTCTGCACCCGCACAGTGGCCGCCATTGCTGCCCCGCCCCGGAAGTACATTCCCATTTTTTCCCCCGACCCAGAAGTGCATCCTCTTCCCCCCACCCCGCCCCGGAAGCAGGTGGAGGAGGCTCGACCAATAAGAGCGTGCCTCCTCTTCCGGGTCCTGCCACGCTCTTAAAGGGACAGCCGGTGTACGAGCGCAGGTAAAGGCTATCAGATGAGCTTGAAAAACCCAGCAATGAGCGGTCTCTTCATGGTGAATATCAGTCCTTTTTTTCCCTCCTCTCTCTGATCCCCACGCTCTAGACCCATCGAGATGTCTGGCCCCGGCTCTCCAGGTCACAACTGGAACCGGAAGCCGGAGGACGAGGAGGACCCTTTGGACCAAATGATCTCGCGCACGGGCTGTGCTGCCTTCCACTATGCCGTCCAGGAGTGCATGGCTGAGCACCAGGACTGGAGGAAGTGCCAGTCGCAGGTGCAGACGTTCAAGGAGTGCATGAAGGAACATCAGACGCGGCGCATGGAGGAGCTGAAGAAGCGGCAGCAGTTGGCCCAGGCCGGAGAAGAGGCCGGAGCCTGATGCTCAAGAGACCCAACGTCAACATCTGATCCGCCAGAGCGGGGGAAATTTTAACTCCTGAAACATGCTGCTGACTCCAGGAGGGGTAAAATGCTTTGCCCCCATCATCAGGAGCTGAGTTGATGAAATGGCCCAGAATACTTTTATAGTGGGGAATCCTGGGTGAAATTGCATTTAATTGTGGGGGTACAAATTAAATGTGGATTCAGTTCTTCTGGCGATCCTGACGTAAGTTCTTCTCTTAGGCCAAAGAGCATAGTGAGCGTGATCTAGCATTGCGCACACAATACTGCCGTGGTCTCCACTCAACACATGTGCGCTATGGAAGTCATATAGGAAAAAGTCCTGGGTGCCATGTGGGTTTATCTAAACTGCTCCAGGTGGGAATTTGCCAGGACCCTGGGCTAGGAACCAAGGAAACTCCCCACTTGGTCACTGCCAGACTGGAGAATCAGCCAGCTGGCATAGCCTGCACAATCTTGCTGGTGGGGAAAGGGGGCATGTAGCTTTGCTGTCTCAGCTCTGCTCTGAAAAGTTTCACGTAGTCAGCTGCGTGGAATGAAGGACAAGCAGCGGAGTCAGCTCAGCCAGGCCTGAATCTGACAGCCCAAGGGGGCAGCATGTTTTATTTCCAACACATGAGTGCTTAAACAAACTTTAAAAAACAAGCACTCGGGTACCAGCCAGCCAGCATCAGGGCTGCCCCCTTAGATTGTCCCCTATCATAGAATCGTAGAGAAGCAGGTCTGGAAGGGGCCCCCCAGGGGTCATCTAGTCACCCTTATTCAAGCCATCCCATACAAATCCAACGTTAGCAAAATTACACAGTCAAACCTGACACAACACAAGGCATAACACCCTAATCTGCCACAGGTAAAGCAGGGGGACTGCAGCAGCCAACATCCTGCTTTCCTCTCCCCTCCCCAGGCCTTTCACCTGCCCTGGCATTGCCATGTGGCCTCTCCTCTATTTCTCCCTGCCCCGCCCTGCCCTGGCAAAATCAAGCCATGCCGGGCACTGTACCAACCCGCTCCAGTCCTGGGCCAGGTGCACACCCTTATCTGGTATCACAAGCCCTGCTGGGACCCCAAGACTACAGTGGCACAGAGCTGGCTTGGATTGGGGCCAGGGTCACAGCAGCACCCGAAGTGGTCTTCCTGGGCAACCTCTGAGACAGCAGCAGTCTGCTCCAGAATGCAAGGCTGGGTGACAACGGCACCTATGGGGTCTGGATCCATGCTGTCCAGCCCCCGGGGTTGACGCTCAAGGCCACTGACAAGCAGCAGCACAAGGAGTGGATGGGGATGATCCAGGTGCAGGGGGCAGGTGAGGGAATCCAGGTGTTTGGGCCCCCAAATGCCTCCCACCATGGGGGAGAGAACCCAGGTGGGCCTGACCTCTGCTCCCCCCACCACAGTGGGCCTCTCCACCCCCTGCCTGGAGGGTCTGTGGCCACTGTGGGAGGGGATCCTGACCCACCCGACCTGCTCCTTGCCCCACCACTGCCCCCTGCAACCCCTAGGCCTGGCCTGGGGGGGCCTGGAGGGCCCAGGTGGAGCACAGACCCAGTCCTGGGCCTGGCTGGACCTGGAGGGCACCCCCCAATGCAAGGACCACAGCCATGCTCTCTCCTGCGCCCTGGACACCCCTGATGCCCCTCAGGTGCGCCTGGAGCTGCATGTGCTCTGTGAGTGGGGGTGGGGCAATGGGGGTGTGGCTAAAGGGTGGGGGCAGGGCCATTGGGGCAGGAGGCAGGGCATCACACAGGGCAGGGTCGCTGGTATTGGGGAGGGATAGAAGACTGGGTGGGGCTCAAGGAGCAGGGGGAGGGGCATACATCTGTGGGGCCGGGTACAGAACAGGGGTTATGGTTGCAGCAGGGATGGAGGGCAGAGGCATTGGGGGTGGAGTCTGGGTGTGGCTCTGAGCTTCAAGAAAGGCCTGGCCCAGGGGGGCAGGGCCACTGGGGTAGGAGGTGGAGCCTGGTGTGAGAGCAGTCTCCTAGCTGGGGGAGCACTAGGGGGTGGGGCTAGGTCATGGCAGGTTGGAATTACAGCCTGAGGGCAGAGCTCCAGCAGCAGGGGGTGGGGCCACTGGAGGCCCTGCCCCCAGCCTGGGGCTGCTCTGGGCTGCTGGGGCCCAGATGCGCCCAGGTCTGGGCTGGCACATCAAGGCAGCAACCAAGTGTAACGACCCCTGCAGATCCCCCAAGGAATGTGACAGAGACAGGGATGCCAGAACCAGTGGTGCTGGAGGGGCAGCTTGTGCAGCTGCAGTGCAGGGTGCCCAGGGGTGCCAACCCCTCTGTCTACCAGTACTGCTGGTCCCAGAACTGGAAGGCACTGGGAGAGCATGGCCCCATGCTAGCCTTCATGGCCCAGGCACAAGGCTCTACTGGCACCTACTGCTGCACGGCCCAGAGCCCCCAAGGCATCGCCACCTCCCTGCCGCTCTGCCTGTGTGTGCAGTGTGAGTGCAGAGGGGTAGGGCTGGGGGCAGCAGAGGGGTGGGGGTCAGGGGTCAGCACATGCATGCACATATGTGCATGCACCCCCCCCACCCCAGGCATCCGGCACATGCACACACAACTCAGGTGACTGGACCATACCCCCTGCCCACTTTGCGAAAAGGCATCCAGTGTGATGTAGTGGGGAGCCTGCCCATCTGGGTCCCCTCCACCTCTGGGAGGCCTGTGGTGCCCTGCAGCGTTGGGAGGCCAGCCCAGACACCTGGGTCCCCTCCCTCTTACCACCCCCCACCCTTGCAGACGTGCCCTGGGCTGTGGCGCTGGAGCTGCAGGCAGCACTGCCCATCCACTCTGGGGACCCCGTGGCACTACTCTATTCCTGCCAGGCCAAGCCCCTGGCTGCTAACTTCAGCTGGTTCCAGGATGGGCAGGACCTGCTGGGGCAGAACAGATGCTGGCTGGACCTGAATCCAGTGCATCCTGAGGACACTGGTACTTATGTATGTCAGGCCCGCAACCCCTTTGGTGCTGCCCGCTCATTCCCACCGGACCTGGATGTGCTCTCCGAGTAGCTGCCAGATGCCCAGGGTGGGGCTCCTAGGCTGTCTGTCACCATTGGCTCCTCCCCCATGCAGCATTGGGGACAGGCAGCCAGCCAACCCAGGCAGATGCCTGCCTGTCAATCATAACAGCAAGTGCTGGCTCCCAGCCAACCCTGGCAGGTGCCTGCCTGTCCATCACCCTCACGCCCTGCTCCCTTCCAGTACCAGGCTCAGGCTCTCACCCAACCCAGGCATCTTCCTCCCTCCAGGCCCCACCCACCTGCTCTAGGCCTCTCCCTTTGCCTGGCCCTGACCTCTGCCCTCCCAGATCCACCAGAGGAGGTGCAGCTGGTGCTGGAGCCCAAGGGGTCGGTGCTGGCGGGGGCAGCACATGACTGAACTGCACCAGGGACCGACCCACCCCATGCCCACCTCGACCTAGTACTAGGACTGGCAGTCCCTGCTGCCTCCCCACCAGGGCCCATGCTGGAGCTGCACACGGCCCCCCAGAACCACAGCCCCTCAGCTGCATCTTGTCTACCAGCCTGTGAGGCCCAGGGCTCCCCCGCCCCCAACCCCAACAGTTGCAGAGCTGCCAGGGTCCTATTGGTGTGTGGCCATGAATGGGAGGCTGCCCCAGATGTGGAGAGTGGAGGAGTTGCTTGGTGTCAAGATGCAGGACAGACAGTGGGGGTGCGTCTAATGGCAGTGGCAACCAGAAGTAGCTGCCACTGCCCAGGGCTGTCGGAAAGCAGAATCCAGCAGCTGCACCACCCTAGTGCCGCTGCATACTTGGGGGCGGTAGGACCGACTGCCCCCCACACCTGGGCCAGGTGGGACTGAGTGGCCTGCCACAAACCAGATGGAATCCCTTAGTGGGCTGAATCCAGCCCACAGGTCATATTTTGCCCACCCCTGCCCTAGGAGAAAGTACAACCTGGGCACATACACAACACCGGCATTTAGCCTTTATTAAAGATCCTTAATGGCATGGTTGGAAACTGTCTCCAAGGAGCAAATGTATCCATAAAAGTATTGGCAGAGTCGTCTCTGAAGGCTACAAGGAGCCAAGGGAGGGAACCATTATCTTTACAAAGCGGATGCTGAAACAGGCTGCGTGTGCTCAGTTGGAGAGTTGTAACACCAGGTCTTCAAGTTCCGGTCGGGTCTTCAATCGAATCTTGAAGTCAGACTCTGTGTACTGCAGGGCAGAGAAATCAGAGTTTGTTTCAAGACAGTCATTGCCTAGTTCTTAGTTCTGGAAGAGTCCAGGATACCCACAGGGCTCACTCACTGCTCTATGCTATGCGCGGGATCTGTGAGAAACGCTGGTGGTCCTCTGACTGAGCCCTATGGTGGTAGAATGCTTTCAAACACATCTGACGTTCAGGGCTATTGCTCAATAGGTTTTAGCATTTTGAACTCAATCTACAAGTCCTTCTACAGGTATACAGTATAAGGAGAAAAAAAAGGTGCAGGGTAACACAGGACCCCTACAGGGCAGACTAGGGCAATTGGTGACAGATAGAAGGGACAAAGCTGAGCTCTTCAATGAGTTTTTTTGCTTCCGTATTCCTGAACACAGATCAAAACAAATCTCCCAATTGGATTATAGACAAGCACAGGGGGGAAAACAGCCCACCAACTGTTAGCACTGACTTAGTGAAGGGACACTTGGAGGGGCTGAATGTGTTTAAGTCTGGATGATCTTCATCCAAGGGTGCTGAAGGAATGGGTCAGTGTCATAGCAGAACTACTGGCATGGCTGTTTGAGCACTTGTGGTGCTCATGTCAGGTCCCAGAGGATTGGAAAAGGGCCAATGTGGTCCCTATTTTCAAGAAGGGGAGGAAGGATGATCTGAATAATTATAGGCCACTTAGCCTCACCTCTATCCTTGGGAAAACCTTTGAAAAAATTATTAAGGATCACATTTGTGGGAGTCCAGCAAGGAAAGCAATGCTAAAGGGCAATCAGCACAGCTTCATAGCTGCCTGACTAACCTTGTTTCTTTTTATGACCAGGTCACAAAATGCTTAGATGCAGGAGACGAGGTAGATGTCATCTACCTGGATTTTAAGAAAGCCTTCAATATGGTATCTTATCCTGTTCTCATAAATAAACTGAGTGGCTGTGACATAGATGATTACAGAGTCAGGTGGGTGGCAAATTGGCTTAGGGGTTGCACCCAGACAGTGGTGGTGGATGGGTCGGTACCGACCTGGACAGATGTGGGCAGTGGAGTTCCCCAAGGTTCAGTCCTTGGACCAGTGCTGTTGAATGTCTTCATCAGTGACTTGCATGAGGGCATGGAGAGCATTCTGTCCAAATTCGCAGATGACACCAAATTATGGGGCCCTAGTACACACACTAGTGGGCAGGGAACAAATCCAGAGAGATCTGGACAGGTTGGAAAAGTGGATGGAACAGAATAGGATACAATTCAACAAGGACAAATGCAAAGTGCTGCACCTAGGAAGAAGGAATCAACAACACACCGATAGGCTAGGGGATGACCCTCTCAGCAGCACTGTAGCAGAAAGGGATCTCAGAGTCATTGTCAACTCCAAGATGAACATGAGTCATCAATATGATGAAGTGATCAGTAACTGTGCTCTGTCATGCATTAGCAGGTGTATGACAGGTCCAGCGAGATGCACTGGTCAGGCCACAGTTGGAGTACTGTGTCTAGTTTTGGGCACTGCACTTCAAGAGGGATGTGGACAGCCTCGAGAGGGTTCAGAGCCTGCAGGCAAGGCACTACAAGGAGAGACTGAGGGCCCTGGATCTCTTCGGCCTCTGCAAGAGAAGGCTGAGAAGTGATCTTGTGGCCGCCTACAAATTCATCTCACGGGGGCGGGGAGGTAAAGGGATAGGAGATGCTCTGTTTACCAGGGCACCTCTTGGAGTAACTAAAAATAATGGCCACACACTGACGGAGAGCAGATTCAGGTTAGACATCAGGAGGAACTTCTTTATCGGAAGGGTTGCCAGAATCTGGAATGGGCTTCCAAAGGAGGTGGTGCTCTCCCCTACCTTGAGGGTCTTTAAGAGGAGGCTGGACAAGCACCTTACTGGGGACATCTGACACCAGCACTTTCCTGTCCAGGGCAGGGGGCCAGACTTGATGATCTGCTGAGGTGCCTTCCAACCCTAACATCTGTGAATCTACAAAAAGGCAGCCCACTAATTCAAAGCATTTTTTACTTATTAATAAAGCAAGTCTGAGCTCACTCCAGTAAAAGAGCATCTGTACACTGATCTTCCACAGACAGAGACAGGAAGGCAGGGAGAGGTTAAGAGACTCACCCAAGGACACAAAGTGAATCAGTAGCAAAACCAGGAATACCATGGCCCTAGCTCACAGCCCCTTGCCTTAATCCACAGGACTCTCAGAAACCACCATTTGTTTTGGGTAGAAATATCTGCATAGAGACCTAAACTATACAGGGCTGACACCAGCCCAGACATAGTAGGGATTACGGAAACGTGGTGGGACTCATGATTGGGCGGTGAATGTCACGGGCTATAAGCTGTACAGGAG